TCCATTTCCAAAACATCATGACCTTGAAAAATCCCAAGGCGTCAGTTTTGTTCTAACACCTGAGGAGTTGCCGTAAATAGGAGTCCACTTGATGTTTGAATTTCTATAGGTCCATGGTGTTAACAAGGTGTCACGGAATGTCAGCCCTTCTTTTGTTGCTCGCTCCCCTGGCTTCATGCAGTGGTGTCATTAGGGGGCTATCTAGTGGCTTAGTGGTAAGGAGTTGTGCTGCCAACCCAAAGACATGCAGTTCTTGTCCACCAGTGACTCCATGGGGTAAGGATGGGCCAAGTGCTCCTGTGTGGTGGTTTACAGCCTCTGAAAGCCCACTGAAGGGTCAACTATAAGTTTGTTCTGACTTGATGGCACAGAACAACACCCTGGGCGGCACTGTTCAAGACAGTGACACCAAAATAATGGTCTGTAAAATTTTTGCTGTGTGTTTCGACAGAAATCTATTCTTTGTTTAAAAATTCCCTATATTTCTAACAATAAGAATTTTTCTCTATAAGCCCAGCTTGCAAGTATCAATCGCCTACAAAGCTAAAACTTTCTGCTCATTTACTTTTTGAGCCTTCTGAGCTGTCATTGTTGTTGTTGTTGTTATGTGCCGTTGAGTCGCTATTTTACCCAACTATAAAGATGCTTCCAGCAGCATTTCATCTGCATGTGCTAACAGCACAACATTTCCATTGCGGCTAATGTTTTATAGTTGTTGATTTTGTCAAATGTTCTGATGCGTTAGCTAAAATATTGTTATAGTTAATGTCCGTAAGCCTATGTCAATAACTTTGGAGAATAAATTGGCAATTAAAGAAAAAGAAAGAGAAAAATTGTAAAAATTCCTTCCATCTAGTTCCTAATAATGTTGTAATTCAATATGGAAATATTTAATGAAAGAGTTTTGGTGTCAGTATTCATACAATATAGAAAATACTACATTTGTGTAGTGTACAACTATATTACATATTATTTTCTAAAAATTGATAATAAACATTGCAAAAGATTCTGTATGTCCTTATTTAAATAAAGGTGATTCCTACGATAAAAATAATGCCCTAAAATATAATGCTTTTAGACTATTCTCTCCCCCATAGACTTCAATGCCGTAAACATATTTTTATCGTAGGAGTATACAATGAGGGTTGTAGAGTGGATTATATTTGGGGCTAGGGGGTGGAGTTTGGGGAGGTGCGGGGGGGGAGG